TGTGCTTTGATGTGTTTTTTTGTTCCAAGCTATATCACAATTTCAAATGCATTTCTCAAATCTTAAAAAAGGTGGGCCTGCTGAGATACGACATGAAGGGGATCGGGATCTTAATGCAGTCAGTCGCTTTTCTCCAGCTTTGAAGGGTTGTACTCAAAGTCATCCACAAGTGGGACAATGTGGAGACAAATCAGACATACTCAATGACTTTCAAGGTCAGGCTTCGGAATTTGGTCTGCTTTAAGTGTTTTCTTGGAGTGCACCCCAGTATTAGAAAGTACATGGAAATTTCTGACAATTCTTTATAGAGAAATATGGAAACAATACTGTTCACACAGTCCAGTTCCGTCCATCGCCAGCAATAAGAACTGCACAAGACTGAGCACCATCTGGATCAGCAATTTGTTCGTTCTCAGATCTTGCCGATCGTGGATTGCCTTTAAGGTCACTCTGTTTCCTGATGTGCTCGCGTCAGCGCCTCCGCACCACAGGCGCTGACAGCATCAGCATCCAAGGCTGCACTCTCCACCTCTCAAACCCAGTCAGGAACCTCGGCGTTTTGTTCGACCCTGAGCTGTCCTTTCTCCCTCATATCCGCGCCACAACTGGCACCGCCTTCCATCACCTCCGGAACATCGCCAGACTATGGCACTACCTCACCCCTCACGCTGCTGAAACTCTGGTCCACACCTTTATCACCTCAAGGCTGGACTATGGGAACTCTCTCCTCGTCGGCCTTCCCGGCACCTCCTCCACAAGCTGCAGGTCATTCAGAACTCTGCAGCTCGTGTACTGTCCCGCACCAGGCTTCGGGACCACATCACTCCCACCCTCGCTCGCCTCCACTGGTTCCCCATCCCCCAGAGGATCCAATTCAAGATCCTCATCCTCACCTACAAGGCCATTCATGGCCTCGCTCCCTCCTACCTCTCCGACTTACTATCCCCCTACCTACCTGCCCGTACCCTCCGTTCCTCTGGCTCCGGTCTGCTCCACGTCCCCCGCCCCAACCGCCCTACCATCGGTGGCCGGGCCTTCAGCCTCTCAGCCCCTGGGCTCTGGAACTCCATCCCCCAGGGCCTCCGCCGCCTCCTCCCTTTCCTCCTTCAAGGCCGGTCTCAAGACCTTTCTCTTCAGCCGTGCCTTCAGCTCCCCTCTCGACTCTCTACCCCCTCCTCGCTCCCTCCCTTCCCTCACCCTGACCATTTCCCCCCTGCTCGGTCCTGACCCAACTGTACAGCGCCTTGGGATGTCCTCCCGACGTGAAAGGCGCTCTATAAATGCAATCTTGTTGTTGTTGTTTGAGAAAGTCTTGCAGCATATTTGAAAATACAGTGGTCAATGATTTTTTAGTAGTGTTAAGCATTAACCACCAAACAATTCTCAACATATTTGAGGTATGTGTTGCCTACATACTGGGTCAGGTACACACTATTTGTGTGGTTTATTAAAGTGGGTGAGGAAATGATTGAATAACTGGTCTTTTAAAATTAGTGGTCAGATTTGTGACAAAGTCTGCGTTGTGTGTAACTTACGTTTCCTGAACTTAAACAAATGCTATGGGCTCTCAGCGGGTTGGTAGGAGAAGGTGGTGTGGAGCAAAACAGACGATGGAAAATAATGGAGATACACGGATTGAGAAATGAAGTTTTTGCCTCGTTATCTTTGGGAGTTAGAGAATTTGTGCAGAATTTTTCCTTTCGTAGATAAAGTGGCTGGTACCATGGGTCGGTGATACAATGGTAAAGTAAGGTGGGTTTTGCTTGATTTTGGGAAGGAACTGGTTTAGGTCCAGGCCAGAGGGACTATTTTTGTTCCGTACATTATTATGCTCTTAGGTCAATGTGCTTTAGACTATATTGATCCCAGTAGAACACCATGTGCCTACTTCTCTGCATTGGACTCTGGTGGAAGTGAAACTGAGGTTGTGATACCAGTACAAAGATTACTATGATGTGCATGTGTATGAGGTTACCAGGAACAGAAATGACCCTTGAATTAAACTTGCACGAAACCTCTTTATAGCATGCATTTCTTTATAACCTGATTTGGTTATAAAGTGTTGTAAAGCGGTTCATTGAAGCATAGATCCCATTCTTTGCAGTTAGCCCGTTCACTTACTCCTTTGTTAGCTCATTTGCTTACAAGTTGTTGTTGTTGTTACTGGGCACCATCCAGCTTTTGTGCAAAAATGGCTGAATTATGGGTCACTAAGTCTCTATTAATGTCATTTCCCGTTTGTTATGCATTTGCAGTACACAAAATGACATTGGTGGCTACTGAATCACAAGATCACAATTGTTTTGTACAATAATAATTCTTGCATTTGATATAGGGGCTAATCACATCGTCAAGATTTCTCAAAGCGATGTGGGCAGGATATACTGTGTATTTTGTGGGCGAAACGCGGCAGCAGGATGTCCTCCCGACGTGAAAGGCGCTCTATAAATGTAATGTTGTTGTTGTTGTTGCGCAGAGTAATGTCCCACAATCAGTAATGGAGTGAGTAACCAATTTTATTTGGGGGATTGTTGGCCAGGATCCCGAAAGAAATTCCTTTCTCTTTTAGAATAGTTCCATGAGATCTTTAATGAAGAAGACCATTCGACTCATCCTTCCAGAACACCCACTCTACCATTTCCATCAGAGTATCAAGCTGCTCTTTAAATGTCCTGGCCTCTATCATCTTTTCTGGCAATTGATTCCGGTTGTTAATTACCGTCTTTGTAAAGAAAAACTTTCAGGTATCTTCATTAGAAACATTGAAAGAAATTTATTTAATATAGACAGTAACATTATCAAATGAGGGACCTCAATATTTTGTCAGAGATCAGAACATTTTAAAACATGGAGTCAAATTCACAGGCCGCAAATTTTTTTTCAATTTTTGTTGAAAGCAACCATTGAAATTGGAACAAATATTCAGATGAATAAATATTTCACAGGGAAATGTTTGCAGCTCATTTAAAAATATAATACTTTCCACTCAGGACTTATTTGATGTTAAGAAAACAATTAAGCTTCTGAAAATCAATGGGGATTTTCAGTGAAATGTGCATAAGCCTGACAAAAACAAATTGCTGACAGGGTCTTGATAAGTGCAAATTGTTATCAAGTCTTCCTTTTGCTCTTTACAAAGCAACAGTGTAGTTAGTTTTGTCATATGAAAGTCTGCTTGTTCAGCTTCCTTGGTTGGCTTAAAAATTTGCTGTGAGGATATCTGGCACTAGTTTGAAGAGAGCATTTCAATCCCGTTCTCAGAATTCAGTGTACAAGCTGTATTCCTTTCGGATTAAGTCATGCTGGAAAGAACATTGCAGTGGTTGAAGTGATTCAGGTTCCAGACAGCACTGAGACGTGGTGCTGTTTGTTTGTTTATTTTGGTACCAGGATGGGGAAATCACAATGCTGACGTACATAATATTTTTTATGAAACCCCCTGAAACTGTCCACTTGATCAGTTTGAAAATTGTCTCATTGTAGAGCAGGGCCGATCAATGCTGTCAGTCTTATGGACAACTTAAACATTCTTACTTCAGCGGGAACTGTCAAAACCATTTCTAAACTGCGCAGAGCCCAGCTGATTGTGGAGTTAGTATCGTTTTAAACAAAGAAATCGCTTTCATAGAATTATACAGCAGGCCATTCGGCCCATCGTGTCCGTGCCGGCTGTTTGTACAGAGTTATCCAAATTAATCCCACTTCCCCGCTGTCTCCCCGTAGCCCTGCAAACTTGTCCTCCCCAAATAATTATCTACTTCTCTCTTAAAACTTGTTATTGAATCGGCTTCCACCACCCTTTCGGGCAATGCATTCAAGATCCAAACAACTCACCGTGTGAAAACATTTCTTCTCACCTCCCCTCTGTTTCTTTTAGCAACTGTTTTAAATCAGTGCCCTCGGGTTACCGACCCACCCACCAGTGGAAATAGTTTCTCCTTGTTCACCCTATCGAATCCCCTCACAATTTTTAAAATTTCTATTACGTCTCATCTTAACCTTCTCTGCTCCAAGGAAAATAATCCTAGCTTTCAGTGTATCTTTTCAACCAATTCAAAATGAGTTGTTTGATGGTCCAGAGATGGTTATAGAGCATAGTGACCATCCTCCTGGGGTGGGGGGGGCGGGGGGAGGGGGTAAGCAGGGTCTCCTTGGACATGAATTGGCTTCACAGTCTCTTGCTTCGCAATGAAATGTCGGAATCAAGTCAACCCTTACTGGAATTCTCAGTAGCCCAGGTCCTGACCAGGCAGTTCCACAGTACTCCAGGCCACTGCTGTGGCTCATCGGCAGGACTTGGAGGAGGGCAGGCCAGTCACTAGCGGCAGGAATTCTTCACATTCAACTCCCGATAACCCTGCAAGCTGTAGCCCTAAAGGGTTGGATAGTCCAAGCTGGACAAACAACAGGAAAGCTTGTCAGTCAGTGCATTTAGTGGAAAGCTATGTGGTTTCAGCTGGTTAAATTCCAGAAGTACCCCAATGCACACTCTGGGGTCCCCAAGCCTTGGCTCTTGCCAAGCTCCAGCTAATATTCTCTGGATTTAGGTAAGCAGTACGCATCCCTTTATAATAATAATAATAATCCTTGCATTTGATATAGCGCTTGTTATGTCTTCTCGACGTCTCAAAGCGCTTCACAGAATAGACTGTAAAGTGAATTGACTGTATATTTGTGGGTGAAACGCGGCAGCCAATAAATAACTCTCTTCGGTGAGAGAGTGCTCATTCCTTTCCAGACACGGGATTTTCCATGTCTAGGTGGGATTCATGGAACTCTCAGTCTGGTTTGGAAACTCTTAAGCATGTTGATGGATTTCCACGTGTGTCAGACACTAACCAAAACAAAATTTATAGATTATTGGAAAATTTTGGTCACCTTTCATTTGGATTGTTGCTAAAAAAAAGTTTACTCTGGTAACCTTTTGTCTGTATTAAACATTGGTGATAATATACATGTTATTTTTTATTTTAATGTTCCTGTATCTCTTTTCACTACAGCAAGGCAGTGATGGATTTACTGATTGATTTGTGCAGCCAATATCATTTGAATCCAGCGCATCATATACTCGAACTGCAAGCCAGAGAGACACATAAACAACTGGGCTTCAAGCCAAATACTCCCATAGGAGTGTTGGATGTGGAAAAGGTTTTCATAAAGCAGAAAGTTGTTGAGGAGAAGCCAAGAAGACCCCCACCTGTAGTCCCTGAAGTAAGTAACAAATTGAAAGCAATATTGAACTTAAAATTTTCGTCACATTCACCTGCAATTGCACAGTCACTACACTTTATAGTTATTACACTTTACAATGATGAAGCACTTTGAGATGTCATCCTAACGTGAAAAGCACTATATCAAATGCAAATCCTTTTATGTTAATAATGATAAATAATAATCTTTACATCCACCTGAACAGGCAGACGGGACCTCGGGTCCTCATCCGCAGGACGGTATCTCCAACAATGCAACACCCCTCCAGCACTGCATTGGAGTGTCAGCTTACACTATGTGATTTCAAGCCTCAACGTGGGGCTTGAACCCACATCCTCCTTCTGACTCAGGCGAGAGGGCCACCTCGTGTTAATTGGTGCAAATTTGAATTGAATAGTAGTTAAAATTGCTCATTCCATTTACTGTGCTTACTCCACAGTAAAAATTGCACCTCGGTTTACACTTACTCTATTTAATGTAGCTTTCTAGTGCGCCCGGAATTTTGCAGGTTCTTAAACGCTTTAATTTTAAAACTTCTTCTGTAAATTTCTTTTTAGAACTACATGACAAATGGCTTCAAAGTTAAGACCAAATTTAACAATTTGCCAAATTCTGGTTGCTCAGAAATTCTAAGTCAATAGGCTAAATCTAGACATAAGTGCTAGGTATATATAATTCCTACTAATAAATAGTAATCCTTCATTTGATATAGCGCTTCACAGAATTCAGTCTAAATCAGTGGTGACCAACCGTTTTGGTCGGCCAACCAAATACATTTTTCTTGATTGAATATTTCTTGATTTATGGCCACACCATAAATATCGCTACTCAGTAACTCCTGGAAACAAAATATTGATTTAACACAGACTTGCCTAGAGTAGTGCAAATGTTTGGCAGGCCACTTCTTGACGCCCCCAAGGCCACTTTTGGCCCACAGGCCATGGGATGGCCAACACTGTAATGTAGTTATTTGCCTAGATTTTCAAAGGGCAGTGAGTAGGGAGTACTACACCTTTGGAGGTGCTGTCCTTTGGAGGCCACGTTAGACCAAAGTTGCTTCTACCTTTTCAGGTGGACATTAAGATCCCATGACTATTCAAAAAGAAATGAGAGTTTCTGCCAGGCCAGCAATACCCCAGAAAGAATTGATTGTTCACTTTATGACCGTTTATGGGATGTTGCTTGGCTACTGTATTCGCCTACAAATACACAGTCACTACCAATTTCACAATGAAATCCTGTGAAGCACTTTGAAACATCTCAACAACGTGCTAAGGCACTATATCAACTGCAAGGATTATTAGAAGCGAGCCTAATGATTCCTAAGCACTATTGCATACAGAATTTTGCACTCTCCTTGGACAAATAGCAATATATGGATGCTCCTTTATTCGTCAGGTTAATGATTACATTATATTGATTCACAATATCTACCCTGGATCCAATGAAATCACTTGTGCTTCTGCCCAGAGTTCTAGAGTACCTTTGCAATGTGCAACCAAACAAACTGACACATAAATGAAAAGTCAGAGAATGAGGAACATCTTCATCACTACTGTAAATTGTCTCTTCTATTGATTGTTTTCCTGTTTAACGTGAATTGTCTGAAATCTCTGATTGTTGCAGAAAACTGTAAGGCTGGTGGTGAATTTCCTGAGGACGCAAAAGGCTGTGGTGCGTGTCAGTCCGTTTGTGCCTTTGAAGGATCTGGTACCAGTCATATGTGAAAAGTGTGAATTTGATTCGGACTATCTTATGGTCCTGAGAGATAGCGTCAAAAGGGAAAAACTGGATCTTCTAAAATCATTGAATGATTTAGGAATTAGGGAATTATACGCACTGGATACCAGCAGAGGTAAGTTTATCGAACACCACATAACAAACACAGTATAATGAGGGTTCTCAACAACATTTTTACTTTGGAGCTGCACAACTCCACAACATTAATTTTACTTGTGCACTCTAAATTAAGACAATGCTGAAATGACTGCAAAGTATGATATCTTTTAAGCAGAGGTCAGTTGGAATTTGAAATCCATATTGACGTTCATAATATTGCAAATAAAATAATAAGCTTACTCTGCAATCCACTGACTCAAAAATTAAAATGAGTTCCTTAAACCATAGTAATGCACATACTGTACAAAGTCACCATAAAATATACACGTAAATTTTTCAGGACAACTGTAGCAATTTGTAATCTATGGTAATTCTGATTTCTGGAGTTTTGAACTTTTCCAATTTTTGTATTTGTCAGGAAACAAACTTTAAATATTTGGAAATTGCTGGCTTCACAACGTAGACATGTTGCCATGCTATTGTAGTAAATAGAATGCTAGCATGTTTATTTTAGTTTACAACAGTAATATTTTCCTTTCATTAGAGTAGGAGAATCAAGATGTTTCTGTTTCATATTAAAGTATATCATGTGTCAACAACATTGGACAACTGGGTGTTGTATTTTGAAAACATTAATTTGTGTAACGTATTTTGATTATGTACTTTCATTTGTTCTTGAGACTTGCCGTTTGTAACTCTGTTGGCCAAGAAAGACCTGTTCTGTATTCACAGAGCAGCATTAGGGGGAAACATGAAAACCTCAACCTTGTAATTGAAGAGACATGTGTTGTAAGGCTGTAGTTTACTCTGTGAGACAGAGCTTTATAATTTTGTGTTTAAAAAATTATGCCTGATGGCAGTTTTCTCGGACATATAAACAGATATGTGGGGAGAAATTCCACCTGAGTTTAGATTTATTCTATTTTCTTAGCATTTGAGCGTGTGTGGAATTTGGGAATTTGAATCCAGTGTTTCCTGTAATAAACATACAAAAAAACAGCTTTTAAATTAACACTGCATTTAAGAATTCATCAAGTTCTGGACGCCCTAAATTACCAAGAAACTAGAGGAAGTCTAGACCCAGATGAAATTTCTACTTTCTAATTTGTAGTGCATTATTTCCCTTGATTTTGTAAGTACTGCAAGCTCAGTATAAATTGAAGTACTTGTCCAAGCTGAACTTTCATTCAGAATTTATCAAATAAAATTGATGAAATTATATATAAATATATAGCTTTATAGCTCTTCAGAGCTGTCCTGTGTTATTTTACTAAAGCAGGACCATGTTAGTATTTTTATAATTATGAAAATCTCAATGATTTTCTGTTTTGAATTGAACATTGTGTTCAAATGATAGCATTTTAAAAAATTTGTCTTGAGATAAATAATGTCTATTTAATGACATGCTTTGTGAAACTGTTATTGCCGTGAATCCATTTAAAGTGTTCTTTTGAAGCTTTAAATAAATCTAATTTTCATAATGTGAAACTTCCTTTCCTTTACTATTAGCTGTTACTACAAAGCCTAAAGATTGTAATGAACTGTAAGCAATTCCTTGTTTTTAAAGTTTGTAAGTGTTAATAATCTGCCCTTTTTATAGTTCTTCAGTCTCAATCTCACTCTGTCCCTTCAACTCTGAATTACAAAGGTATTGTATTACCAGCTCGATCCTCTGTGTAGCTTCATTTGCTTTGCTCCAAGTGCATCTTGTACACATTCTCAGTATAACCATTCTCAATATGCATGCACAATGTTTGGCTGGGTTGTGTTGCATATGTGTGAGAAATGCTGGTAGCTTGCATTAACCCTCTTTACATCACCGTCACAGTAGAATATTAATATAAACATCAAATAAAAACTGCTTTGTGACTTTCATTGTATTAAAAAATAATGACTGTAACATTAAGTATATGACACTGTGCTTTTGAATATCCAAATCTCTCTAAGTAGAGTAATTTGGATGATAAAGGCCCTATTGTACGGATTTTGTTCTTTACTAATGACTATGCTTGCCTGCCTACATGACTGTCCATTTCAATCAAATTCACCAGTACTGGTCATGGTGGCCCGCTGTCATTAAGAAATGTAGGCGCAGCTTAAACTGAACTGTGATTTCTGAAAGATTTAATACATTTGAAATGAATGGGCTTGGATCTCTCATTAGCAACGTTAATGTTCTAGAAACTGTTAGTGATGCTATTCGGAGTCGTGGGGGGGATTTCTGAAAGATTGCCTCTTGTTATAAGGCAACAAAATAGCTGTGGATTTACATTAAAACAGTTTGTTATAACCATTACAGCAGCAGGTTCATGGAATTGGACATGGATGGCTTTGTAAATTCAACAGAAAAGTTAGTACTATATAGTTAGTGTACTAACTGCATCACATGTAATAATAAACCGTAATGTTGATTTTCAATTATTATTGTTTATTTGAAACATCAATTTGATTTTCCCTGTCCCGTCTTTTCTGCCCCACCATCATCTGTCAGGCTTTCAGCCATTCTGACTATGACATCAATTTGTCATAAAATTTAAGATCGTGCAAAATTGTTGAATATTCTTAAATTCAATTAAAAAAATGATTTCCAATTTAAGACTCAATTAAAATATTTTCCACAACTCTGCATGATTTTAAATTTGAAAACAAAGTAATCCCGTAGACAAAGACTAGGTGGAATTTCAAGTCCTTTTTTATGATAATCTGCAGAGCTGCAAGTTGGAAATAGTTTGTTGCTGATTTGAATAATAATAATAAAATATTTAATGGCTAGTACAAGCTCAGTCCAAAGGTCTGTTGCTAATTTAAAACCTTTCAAGCACTTTTTTGAGCATGTTTTTATACATTTCTTAAATGATTTTTTACGTTTACATTTCTTATTATTTCTTAAATCACAATTTGTTTTTTTTTAAATGTGTAATGGATACTATTCAATCATTGTAGGTTTGCTAATCCCATGGTAACAAAAGGTATCAAATTATTTTTAGGTCCATTTAAGAGTAAAACATAGACTTCTGATTTACTTCCCTTAAATGCTGGTTATGTCCAGGGACCCGTCAGGAGATGAAATGGGTTGGGGAGAGTGGACTGATTGTGTACAGTAGTTTTTTTCTTCATTTTCATGTTTCTTAACGTTTTTTATGAGGCATCATTATAACTGGAATGTCACCAAAGGCATTATGCTTAACATCAGCTAGAATTTCAGCCCACAGGTGCCTTTTCATGCCAGTTTCAACTGGGGAAAAACTATCCACACATACAACAAAAGGAAACATAGGGGAAATACTTGTGTAATTGTTTTTTAATGATGTACAGAAAAATCAGTTTTCAAAGAGACAAATGGTTCTTTGCGGAACAGGCTCAATGGGCTGAATGGCCTCCTTCTGTTCCTTTTCCTATGTTGTTCGAGTTAACACAAAGCTACCTCTGCATCCATCAAACGCTTGGCACTTTCTACAGCTACAGAATACCACAAATATATATCCTGGCTGGATAAGAAAAAATAATACATTTCTGCACAAATGAAAACCTTTTAAATTCATACTGAATATGTACTTCTCTTGTAAAGCAGAAGGTTCACTGGTATCTTCAAAAAGCTGACAGTAGTCTGTTGTGTTGCAGAGATGAGTCAGAGTGCTGTAACAATCGGAGTGCCAGAAAGAGAAGAAAAAGGTCTATTTGGTTTCTTTAAAATTGGAAAAAAGAAAACAAAGGTAAGATTGAAACAAACGTGGTGAAATGCCATTCAACAGACTCATTCCTTTGCTGATTTGCTATGTCATGTATTACCTATTTTATGTTACATCACTCTCAAGAAGTATGAATAAGAGTTATTGGGTTGTCAATTTGACAACAATTTGAGCCTGAGGTTTTATAGGAATTAATGGGATTCAGTCTCTGTTACCAGGTAAAGCTTGGAAGAGAAGAGGGACCATAGATAATTTAGGAATCAAGAGAAACAAGAGGTAGCTAGGTGCAATTGCAGTGGGTGTTTCCTATTGCATTTTACTGGCCCAGCACAGAAATTGAGGCTTCTGTGTTCCTGACATGGTACTGGGATCACTCAGAAAGGTGAACAGGTGATGGTGCAGGGATTGTGATAATGGTGGTTGATGTTTATCTGAACCAAATGCCAGGCTGCTGTAAGAATCGCACTCTGAAGCCAGCTGATTGAGAGGTTCAGAACCAAAGCCGCAGGTGTAGACTGTTTCTCCCTCTCTTTGGGAAGAGCCTCACGTCTGAACCACTGTTGTGATCTCTTGTGTGATCTACTCAGCATTTCTGGTGCAGGTTGGATAGCTGAGTTCAGGGACTCCTATTCAATCAATGTAGTAACAGGGGGCATGCAGGAGGAAGGACTGGCAGGGATACAGGACACAAACCTGGATGCCAGCGTAAACATGATCTTGTGCAACTGATGCCGTGGTTTTAACATTTGTAATAGCCATTGGAAGTTAAAATGAATCCTGATCTTTTGCCACTGTAAGCAAGATGTTCGCTAAATTCTTGCTTCTCTTAGGAAATTGTTCCCATTATCCTTGAAAATATCTGTAAATTTAGAGACTATGGATTTCAGATGGTTGGATTCCAGGAATTACTTTGGTGCTTTTTAATATCAAATTATTATTTTCTGCAGTCAAATGTTGTACAGTCAAATGTCTTTTGTTAAAAAAATGATGTGAATGGCACCATTTGATCTGGAGATTGGAAGTATGTGTAGGTTTCATTTGCAAGTTCTTTCTATTGGTTTGGACAGTCTCAGAATGTGAAAGAAGGTTTACATAGTCTGAAAAATTTGGCCATTTTACTATATGAGTTCCCAAGTTTCCGAGCAGCCTGGCTGTTTTCCAAGATCCCATGCAGGTGTTTCTCCCCTCAGTCTAAACAGCAGCCTCTCCTCCTCAGCTTCTATTTCCATTTAGTCCACTGTAGCTTTCGTCCTCTGTCCCAATTCCACAACAATGTCAACTGGACTGGAGCATTTCTGGAATGATCATCCAACAGCAGAATTACAGAAACTCATTGAACGCATTGAGCTTTGTGGTTTTTAGAAACAGGTTTTTATCCAATATATATTTAGGTAGCCTCTTACAAGTAAAGTAACTTTGGCCTTAGATATTTGAGGACCAGTTTCTTTTGAGAATGTGGTCTTAACTAAATCACTAAACAGCAGAAGCAAGCAGCTTTCTTGCAGTGAATGGCATCATCAGCTAATAAAATGAGGCTATTGGCATGGACAATATGAAGCTTATGATACAGCCTTTTACAACCTAGTTGCCAAAGGTTTCATCTTAAAATAAATGCAGGTTTGAATTACTGCTTTGGTGTCAAATCAAGTACATGGGTCATTAATATGTCACTTGTGGGGTCGGCTTGTGGGGGGAGTGGTTTGCCCTGATGTTCCAAGAGAGGCGAGGTGTACATTATCCCTATAAACTTCCATCAAGAGGAAACCAGCACAGCGAGTGACAGCCTGGCATGGGAGTAGCAATCTGACTGCAGAGCTGGTGAGGTTCACCAACTCCTGTCACACCTAGCAATGACACAGTGGCGAGCAGCTACCGAGACTGAAGAACAGAGTCAATGACCCAACCCGTAACTAACCTCAACATGCTCTGTTGCCTTCAGAAGCCATGCCTCGTCATCTTCATTCTCTATAATTATCGCCACAGTTGAAATAGAGCTTTATACATTGGGAAGATATCCCAAATTGCTTCACAAGATATACTGTAAAGTGCAATCGCAGCAATGTCACACCAACAGCCATGAAGTGAGTGAGCAATTTTATTTGGAGGATTGTTGACCAGGACATGGGGATAAACCCCATCTCTTTTCAAATAGTGCCATGGGATCTTTAGCGTCTATCTGAACAGGCATAGAGGAGCCTCAGTTTAATATCTCGTCCAACCTCCAACAATCCAGCACTGTATTGTAGTTTCACCTTAGACTATATGAGTCCCGACATGGGGCTTGAACCCACAACCTTGGGTCACAAGAACATACCAACCTTATTAATATGCTGCACAATAAGTCTGAACAGCATCCAATAGCTTAAAAACTTACACACAGTTCATTGGATCCAAACTGCTTTCCTAGATGTTGGGTTAGACATTAGGATAATCTGTTTTGGCAAATGCCACAACAGCAACAGCTTTCATTTATATAGCACTCTTCACGCGGGGTAGCGTCTCTGAGCACTTATCAGTGGTGGTGCTTGATGCTGAGACGGAGAAAGGGAGGTGACTGCAGGCACGGTTGAAGAGGAAGGTCCTCGGGTTAGATCTGATTACGGGAATGGAGGGTGCCAGGCAGAGCGATTGAGGCAAAGTATTCCAGAATGGCTAAAGGCCACCGGCTGTGGAACTGAGGGATGAGGGACATGTAAGCGGTTGGAGCCAGCCAGTGAGGTGGAGCTGGGGGGTGCGGATAGAGGAACTGGGTGTGAGCAGAGTAGAGAGTTAGAGAGATGCCAGAGTATGAGGTGAGGTGAAGATACATAAAATTCTTTATTCTGAAGGCTAAGAAAATTGCGGCCCAGAAACCACAACTCTTTGAGCCTTTTAATGACGACAGTGAGTATGTGCTCCCATTGACTGTCTGCCTATCTATCAACACATCCTGCACTCGCATTGGACCATCCACCAGTCCTTAAAAGTTACAAAATGATATGATTTCTGGGCTGCTATTTTCTTACAGCCTTATTTATTAATGGATATATAAAACTTGCCCGCATACATATGTACTACTAATAATAATCCTTGCTTTTGATATAGCGCCTTATCATGTCTTTGAGACATCTCAAAGCGCTTCACAGAATATTCTGTAAAATGAATTGACTGTATACTTGCGCACAGCAGTGTCCCACAAACAGTCACGGATTGAGTGAACAAATTGTTATTATTTTTTTGAAGGATTATTACCCCCAGAAAAGCGATCTGCCAATTGACTTATTGGCAATTTCCATAGCCTTCAGAATAAAGAATGTTATGTACCTTTACTGGTGAACAACCGAGCTCCCACTTACTTAGTTGAACAGAAGCATTTGAAGAAAGAAAACTTTCCCAACGTTTCGCCCTCGCCGGGTGAAAGATCTGTTGTATAGATCAAAGACATTTTGACATAATGATTCTGCTGATTCTAGCAGGATATGACCTAGAAATAAGATTTGAGAGGTTTGCTTTCAGACATTATGAAGAGATGTTTTGTGTCAAATCAAAGATTTGTTCGCCTACAAAATACACTGTTGTTACATAGTAACCTATGTATGTTGTAAATTTTAATTTTTTAAAGAGAAACCCAGTTATCAGTAGAAGAATGCAGTAGTAATTCTACCCTCTTTACATGCAGGAGTGGGTTCTCAAGGCTGTGAGTTGGGGTATACAGTCTCTCTATATTAATGGCAGAGGAAGATCAGATAAGGAGCTCTATATACCTCACTAACATTTTACTAAGATACAGATCATTGTGACTGCAATAGCTGAAAGTAGTTTCACTTAAAGGAACATGCACCCCATCCCACCCGTTGTCCACTTTGCACAAGTTGAATCCCTTCTATAGTAGTATGTTACATGTTTACTCCAACGTGTACCAGCTGTAAATCGGCATAGATCTTAAAGAACTCTAAAACCACAGAAAATAGAGAGTTAAAATTGCACATGTTAATGAGGCCCATTAATAGTTTTACATTGATTTCTTTGTGCCACAAAAAAAGGTTTACGGGATTTGGCTAGCATTTTAAGATTCCTTGGGTTATTGCCCTCCAAATCCATCAATAACTCCATTAACTGTGAGAACTTGGGCCTGTACTTCTGTCAGGGTTGAGTCAATAGTTTATACTGACGTCCGAAAGCATAGTCAGTATTCATGCAGTACATACACCCATGAATCTACCAGTCATATAAACAAAATGCTCATTGCGATACAGTGCTGTACAGTTATAAAATTGATTTAAAAATAACAAGCCATAAAGACGTCAGCTGATTAGAAAGAATTCTCTTCTCTCCCCTCCTCCACCTCCCCTTCCCCCAGTAGTTGATATGTGGAATAAACTCACAAATAAAAATAAGTAAATCTGTGTCAAAATGAATATCTATTTAGGAATAGGATTGAGGCCAAAAATAATAAACATACAGATGATACAGACTATTTAACTATCCTACACAGTGATGATTGTAGGATGTAAGATTGCAAGATAGTCTGAAATTCTGCTTGTAGGCAAAAAGTTTCCTCAGGTGATGAAATGGAATAGGCAAAATACAATACAAAATTACACTTACATGATAGAGTTGGTAATACTCTATCATAGGAAGTAATAGACTTGTTAGGACAAAAGGATTTTTATCATTGTGGAATCCCATAGTGGTTGGTGGGTTGGGTCCTGACCCAACTGTCCAGCGCCTTGGGACGTCCTCCCGACGTGAAAGGCGCTCTATAAATGGAATGTTGTTGTTGTTGCTCTCGTCTTGCAAATGAGAGAACCCAATTTAGATTCCCAGGCGGGTGTAACCTTAGGAAAGTTTGCTTACTCCACAAGCCTCTGTTTACCTAGGAGCAAATAGGAATCTGGTTGTTAGTCGATAGGCGGATCGCTTTCCAGAGGTAATAATCCCTCCCCATCCCCCAAAATTGGTCACTTAATCCATGACTTTGTGGGACATCTGCAGTGTGCAATTGGCTGCCACATTTCGCCCACAAAATAGTCAATCCACTTTAC